GATTTATTTCATCATAAGAGATTTGTGCAGCGTGCCACACAATGCTCTATAGGTTGGCCGCAGCTCAGCGAAACTACGCTCTTTAAAATATTACGTTCACGAGTTTTTTTTTTTTTTTCCTTCACGGTTCAGGGTTACCAGGGTTAGCAATTGTAGTGCTGTAGCGGCATTGCGCCTCTAAAAACGGGGCACGGGTTATCACTTTTTAAGACACCGCTGTTGCGATAGGCCTTGGCGAAGGTCACGTCCTTCCTTCGCCTCCCCTTCTTGTCCACCCGGCGGGTTTGGCCTTCGCATTTAGGATCGGCGCCCGGCCGTCTGAGCCGTTGTTGACAGAACACGTCGCCCGGCGCCGCGTGGACGCCGCCACACCTGGGAGCGGAGCTGAGCCGGACTCCTCTCTCTGGCTGCGGGGTCAGTTGATCCAGGAACCAGCTGCCCTACCGGGAGAGGATTCCGGGGGACGACGACGGCGGCGGGACTTCCGGCCGAGTACGTTCGGCTCAAGTTTTCGTCCGGCGCCACTTGCGGATTATCCCGCTAAACCTTTCCCGAGCCACGACGCCGCACAATGAGGGGATCATCTCCATCACGGTCAGCGTCTGACGAGCTGACAGCGGACCCTTCGTCACAAACTCCTGGCGCGGCTCATCGAGGTCAAGAATGCCCCGGCGCCGGATTAGGAAGCCCGTCCGACGCTGCAGTGTGTGCGTGTATGTGTGTGCGCGCTCGAGAGGATGAGTGGGGGCGGGGCCTGAACATGACGTTCGTTGGCAGTTGGGCCACCATTGGCTGCCAACCGCTGGAAAATCAACAGCGACTGTATAAAAAGAGCAAACGAGAGGCCGCAAGGTGTGCTCTCCGACGAACAAGAACTTCTGTACATATGTAATATAAACAGAGTTTATCGCGAGACGCCCTCCCGTCTCCTGATGTCCCTGCCTGGAGTCGGCCTGCGGTTCCTGTCCTCGCCTGGCCCTGCCTGAGGCTGCCTGGGAAACTCCTCGGTCGCAACAACTGGTTGGCAGCGGCGGGATGACGTGCCTGCTCATGGTTCCTGGTACGGGTGAGTGCTTTGCAATTTTCCCTTGATTTGCCAGACCTTTTGCTCAGTGTTAGGTACGCGAGTGGAAGGCTGCCCTTTCGGCTCAGAAAAAGCGAAGTTCAAGCTGACTGAGTTAGATAGGGGAGGGAGATTGCGACACTCGGGATCATGGAAGTCAATGAGCTACGCATTCCTGAGTTGGTGGCGGTATGCGAGGAGCTTGGCATAAGCGTGGGGCAGGCAAGGCGAAGAAAGCCGATCATGGAGCTACTTCGCGAAAAGGAAGTGTCCGACGCAGAGCTTCAGGAGGCTTGGGAGCTGATTCGGGAGCGGGACGAAAGAGCGAAGGCTGAAAAGCAGGAGCGGGACGAAAGAGCGAAGGCTGAAAAGCAGGAGCGGGACGAAAGAGCGAACGCTGAAAAGCAGGAGCGGGACGAAAGAGCGAAGGCTGAAAAGCAGGAGCGGGACGAAAGAGCGAAGGAGGAACGCGAGAAGCGGGCTCATGAATTAGAACTCAAAAGGTTAGAGGTATCGAAAATTGAGGCTGAGCGTTCAGGTCGTCCTGGATCGGGTGTGCGGCTAGCGGAGAGAGTCAAGATTAAGGACCTAATGCAGCCCTACAAACTAGGAGAAGACATTGGTCTTTTCCTGGTCAACTTCGAGAGAAGCTGCGAGCGAGCAGGTTTCGCGCGCGAAGACTGGCCTCAGTATTTGTTGACGCTGTTGCCCTGTGAGGCGGCCGACGCGGTTGCGAGGTTAAGTGGAGAGGAGGCCGAGAGCTACGAAAGCTCGAAGGCCGCACTTCTTAAGAAGTACCGTCTTTCGGCAGAGGCGTTCCGCCAGCGCTTCCGCACGGCGACTAAGAAGGGAACGGAGTCCTTTCCCGATTTTGCGTACACGCTGAAGGCTAACCTGGTAGAATGGTTAAAGAGCTCAGACGTGTACGGGGATCATGATAAGGTGATCGAGTGCCTTGCGGTAGAGCAGTTTTTACGAGGCATTCCGGAGACCGTCAGGTTCTGGGTCCAAGACAGGGACCCAGAAATGAACCTCCGGAAGGTGGCAGATCTCGCGGAGGAATACTCCATGCGCAGGGGTCTAGACAAAGACAAATCGGGACAAACGCGCTCATGGCGAGATGGCCAGAAAGAGTTTCGGTCGTTAAAGGAAGACTCTGGAAAAGGATTTCTTAGGAGGGGAAACATGAGGGATGTCCCAGATGATAGAGAGTCGCAGAAGGAGGGGGGAGCCGTCGGTAAAGAAAAGAGAGAAATGCCTGGAAATAACGCGCGAGCCTTCGAAGCGAAGAGGCCAGTTCGGTGTTTCCGGTGTCAAAAACAAGGGCACATCGTGGCCAACTGCCCCGAGAAGGTTGTGTTCTCGTATGTTGCAGAGGGCGCCGACAACAGCGCCCTACTGGCTCCGTACACGAAAGAAATGCTAGTGAACGGCCAAGCTTGCACGGTGCTTCGCGACTCGGCAGCAACAATGGATGTAGTGCACCCTTCTTACGTCGAGTCGGGTGACTACACCGGCGAGTGCGCCTGGATAAGGCAAGTAGTAGAGGAACACAGCGTATGCCTTCCGATTGCGAAAATCTGTATCAAGGGGCCTTTTGGCGAGCTCATCACTGAGGCGGCAGTCTCGAAGAACTTGCCTCAACACTACCCGTACTTGTTCTCAAACAAGTCGGAGCTGCTGCTTCGCGAGCAAGGAAAGACTTTCGCGGAGGAGACAGTAATGGCACTAACGCGATCCCAAGCAAGAAAGCTCTCATCAAGGTTAAGATACGAACCTAACGAGGAGGAGGGTCGGTCCGCGGCGCGCGAGGAGCTGGTCGACGGAAAACCTGCAGGCGCGGCAAATCAAGAGGACTTGCGATCGGAGGATGCCGCGAGGAGTTCCCCACCAGATCAGCAGCAGATTCCAGAGGACCATGAGGAAGGGCAGGGTTTTATTTCGCCATTATCTCCGAGTCTGGACACGCTTCGTGTTCTTGATCGACCTACACTGATCGCAGAGCAAAAGAGTGATGCCACTCTCAAGGCATTGCCAGACGGTTACCAGGAGGGAGTAGCACATCAGAATATTTCGTTCTACACCAAGTCAGGGCTGCTATGCCGAAAGTACCGAGACAGGAAGGGCCGAGACTTTGACCAGCTGGTCATTCCGCTTAGATTTAGAGAGGATCTTCTCCGGCTGGCTCACGGGAACTGCTGGTCGGGCCATTTGGGAATCCGGAAGACCAAAGCAAGGCTGATGCAAGAATACTACTGGCCCGGATGCTGGAAGGATGTTGAAGAGTTCGTGCGATCGTGCGATGTCTGTCAGCGCGTGGGGAAGTCATCCGACAAGCACAAGGCTCCGATGCGTTTGGTTCCCATCATCACAGAGCCGTTTCGAAGGCTGGTAATTGACATCGTCGGCCCGCTTCCCGTCACGCAGTCGGGATATCGCTACATCTTGACAGCAGTGTGCCCTGCTACGAAGTTCCCCGAGGCTATCCCTCTCAAGGAGGTGAACTCCACGAACGTAGTAGATGCACTCCTTTCCATTTTTTCCCGCGTCGGATTTCCCCTCGAGATTCAGTGCGATAATGGAAGCGTCTTCACAAGCGCCCTAACTACGACGTTTCTGGAAAAATGCGGAATCAAATTGATTCACAGCTCTATTTGCCACCCACAATCTAACAGCGTGGAAAGGATGCACGGGGCGCTGAAGAGGGTGTTGAGAGCTTTGTGTTTTGAGCACCAAACAGACTGGGAAGCATGTATTCCGGCCACTATGTTCGCGCTCCGTTCGGCACCTCACGAATCCACGGGCTTCAGTCCTGCGGAGCTCGTGTACGGACGAACGCTGCGGTCACCTCTGCGACTACTACGCGAGTCACTAGAAGACCAGAGCGAGGACCCAACCGTCGTACAGTACGTTTTGGATCTCTTGCAGCGACTAAGTGAGGTACAGGTCGTTGTCGGCAAGGCCATGAAGAGGGCGCAGGAGAACTCAAAAACATTTTACGATAAGTCCGCCAAGCCGAGATCATTTCAGGTGAACGACCGAGTTATGTTGTTGATAACTTCGAAGAAAAACAAACTCGACGTTCAGTGGGAGGGCCCGGCAGTCGTCGTGCAGAAACTATCGGACCTCAACTATGCGGTGAAGTTAGAGGGTAAGAGACGGGCTGTGAAGGTGTATCACTGCAACCTCATGAAACCGTACAGGGAACGGGAGGTTATTGTGAATCTAACACTGAACGCACCCGAGGAGATTCCTCCAGAAATTCCCTCTCTGGGTACTGACACCAATCTGACGGCCGAGCAGCTGCTAAAGAAAACCAAAGGAACAAATGACCTGGAATCTTGGCAGGTTTCAGAGTTAGAGGGAGTGATTCGGGAGTTTCTGGACGTTTTCTCCGATAGGCCAGGGAGGACAACACTAACCACGCACGACATCGAGCTGACATGCGATCAGCCGATTCATGCAAGGCCCTACCGGGTCTCTCCGCGACAGAGGGAGATCATGAAACTCGAAATTGAGCGAATGATCGAAATCGGGGTCATCGAGAGAGGCGAAAGCGATTACACTTCGCCTCTTATTCTTGTGGAGGTGCCGGGTAAAGATCCCCGACCGTGTATTGATTACCGGAAACTTAACGCTATTACGCGAGACCAGACGTACCCCATTCCAAATATCGAAGAAAGAGTGGAGACAGTGAGTGGGGCGAGATTCATTTCTACTTTCGACCTGGTAAGGGGTTATTGGCAAGTGCCTCTTTCTGAAAAAGCTCGCCGGTATGCAGCCTTTATCTCACCACAGGGAACATTTATTCCCACCGTACTGAGCTTCGGCTTAAAGAACGCTCCTTTCTGTTTTTCGGGACTCATGGATCGTGTTTTGACTGGACTGAGCGACTTCGCCCTCCCCTATTTGGACGATATTGCGGTATTTTCAGGAACTTGGAGAGACCATCTCGACCACCTACGACAGGTGTTGATGAGGTTACGAGAGGCCGGACTCACGGTTAAAACCGAAAAATGTCAACTTGGAAGAGCGGAAGTTCACTACTTGGGACACGTTATCGGCCAGGGACTTCGGCGCCCTTCCGAAGTTAAAATTGCGGCCGTGGTGGAGTTCCGACGACCGACGACAAAGAGGGATATTCGGGCATTTCTGGGTCTAGCTGGTTATTACCAGCACTATATCTATAACTTTTCAGACATAGCCAGTCCTTTGACCGACGCTCTTCGTAAAAACGAGCCGCAAAACCTGATCTGGGACGACGCGAAAGAAAGCGCCTTTAAAACCTTGAAAATGGCGTTAGTTCAAACGCCAGTGCTAAAGGCCCCTGATTATGACCAGACGTTTGTCGTGCAGTGTGACGCGAGTGATAGGGGAATTGGGGCAGTTTTGTCGCAGGTAGACGAGCAGGGAAACGAGCGACCCATTCTCTACATTAGCCGAAAGCTGACAGTTCGCGAGGAGGCTTACAGCACCTCGGAGAAGGAGTGCGCCTGCCTGGTCTGGGCTGTACAGAAGTTATCTTGTTACCTGGCCGGGACTAAATTTATCGTGGAGACAGACCACTGTCCTCTTTCTTGGTTGCAAAATATGTCCCACAAAAACGGCCGCCTCCTCCGCTGGAGTCTCGCTCTGCAGCAGCACGCATTTGAGGTGAGATACAAAAAGGGGAAGCTAAATGGGAACGCTGATGGCCTAAGCCGGGGCTTCTAAGACGTGAACGAGCTCCATGATCGGATTGTACAAATTTGTAAAGTTTTTCGTTTGTTTCAAATCCTTGGAAAGGGACATCTTGATTTTTTTATTGTGTTTTTATGTCAAAGCACGCTACCATAACTTTTGTTTCTGTTTGCCTGGTTTAGGGTATGGTTTACTTTAAAGGGCTTAGTGACAGCCTGAGCTCGAGTGTCGAGTGAGGGAGATCTTAGGTAGTAGGTGGAGGGGGGTTGTCTTTATTTATTTATTTTTTTTTGGTCTGGCAGATCGGGGGAGGAGAGCGAAGCACTTGTCGCTACTGGGATCGTGACTTGCTATGTTTGTCTCGCCCACGCCTTCCTCTTGTGACCTGAGTTGAGGTCCCCCACTCCAGAGATTTGGACCCGACCCTCGCCTACGTCTCAAGGCAGGAGATGATCACCGGACCCTCTCCCAAGAAAGCGAGGCACTCATCGAGTCAGCGCAGCAGTGTGGGACTGCTGCCCTCCTGATGAGCTCAGTGGCGGCGGAGGTGTTGTTGCGATAGGCCTTGGCGAAGGTCACGTCCTTCCTTCGCCTCCCCTTCTTGTCCACCCGGCGGGTTTGGCCTTCGCATTTAGGATCGGCGCCCGGCCGTCTGAGCCGTTGTTGACAGAACACGTCGCCCGGCGCCGCGTGGACGCCGCCACACCTGGGAGCGGAGCTGAGCCGGACTCCTCTCTCTGGCTGCGGGGTCAGTTGATCCAGGAACCAGCTGCCCTACCGGGAGAGGATTCCGGGGGACGACGACGGCGGCGGGACTTCCGGCCGAGTACGTTCGGCTCAAGTTTTCGTCCGGCGCCACTTGCGGATTATCCCGCTAAACCTTTCCCGAGCCACGACGCCGCACAATGAGGGGATCATCTCCATCACGGTCAGCGTCTGACGAGCTGACAGCGGACCCTTCGTCACAAACTCCTGGCGCGGCTCATCGAGGTCAAGAATGCCCCGGCGCCGGATTAGGAAGCCCGTCCGACGCTGCAGTGTGTGCGTGTATGTGTGTGCGCGCTCGAGAGGATGAGTGGGGGCGGGGCCTGAACATGACGTTCGTTGGCAGTTGGGCCACCATTGGCTGCCAACCGCTGGAAAATCAACAGCGACTGTATAAAAAGAGCAAACGAGAGGCCGCAAGGTGTGCTCTCCGACGAACAAGAACTTCTGTACATATGTAATATAAACAGAGTTTATCGCGAGACGCCCTCCCGTCTCCTGATGTCCCTGCCTGGAGTCGGCCTGCGGTTCCTGTCCTCGCCTGGCCCTGCCTGAGGCTGCCTGGGAAACTCCTCGGACGCAACACCGCTAGCGGAGTGTAATTATTAGGACAGACTTCACATTTCACAAGCAGAATCACGTGCATGTGTCTGCTATTGTCCACATATGAACAATAAATTACTAATTATTTGATATTTTAAGATTTAACGACACACATCTTTTCTCCGTTCAACATTGATCTGCAGGCACAATTCATAAAAGAGCGTAAAGGAATCTGCACCGGAAAAGTTCTGGCTTTGTTAAATCGCCCTTGACAGTTTCTTTGATCTTCTGATCACAATGGACGAATGTTGGGTGCATCATTACAATCTTAAGACGACGAAACAAAGCAAACAATGGAAGCAGGCAGGGTCACCACCACCACAGAAAAAAGACGAAGACGAAGCCGCCAGAGAGTACGGTTATGATGATGAACTTTTTTTTTTTTCTTCGAAACTATCACGGGTGCGCTTTTGAAATATTATGCCGCAAGGACAAAACAGTCACAGTAAAATATTACTGGGGCCTGTTCATAAGCTTCACGCGGAGCATACACACTTATTTAGTCGAATTTACTCTCCCTTGCTTGATCCGCAGGGAGCCACACTCCCTTGATCAGCTACGAGCCTGCACTCTCCCTTTGTAAAAAGTCAAATTTGAGGGTTTTACGTGCCAAACCAACGACGGGCATCTGGCACGCCCCAGCGGAGGAGTGAGGATGAATCTGGACCACCTGGGGATCTTTTGACGTGCAACCGAAAACTCGGTTACACGGCGTCCTCTCCGCAATAAGCTCCCTTGGTACTTCAAGAGCACACACACACCCCTGACCAGCTTCACGCGGCCCTTAATATCCGCCGTAAGGTGCTCATCAAGCTCCATGTGAAGGGAGTGGGTTTGCTCCTTGAAGGACCAAGGGAGTTTGTATCAAGGGAGTGTGAAGCTCTCTAGGGGAGTGTGTGAGCACCGTGTTGATCATTGGAGTGTGTAGGCACCTTGCTGAATAAAGGAGAGTGAATCTGACCAAGAGAGTGTGTATGCTCCTCCAAAACGCACTCTCCCATTCCGCTCTGCAGACGGGGACTGATGCGACTTCTTTAAGCACAGTCGCACTTCTTATGCATTGTACAAAAGATACAGATATTATTCTACAGACATGATGAGATAATTAACCGCGGACACGCAACTCGCACGTTCGAGGAATGTTTGCTTCATTCATACCTAGAGGTTTCCAACACGTTCGCTGATAGATGTTTTACGACCAATGTGGCAAAGCTGTCATGCAAGGAATAAACACGCATCAGACAATACCCAGCAGTGCGACCGAGGCTTTTAGAGTGTGAAATTCTTCACCTACACCTGGCGCTCAATGACTTCTTTACCACTTTTCTTTCATTAATAACCCAGCGTGTTGCAGCCACTGTGTGGCAGGCGTTTCCAGGACGAATGACAGGGTGATGCGCCGAGGTGAAACATTTCGCCACGAGCCCAAAATGAGGACTTTACAATGAGTGTTTTCCGCCAGCTCATTTATTGGTAGTAAAGCTGGCTTGTGTGACACATAATGTAGAGCGCGGCTGTGTGGTCCCCCGCAGCTGAAAAACCTCGGGTCGTCCCGCATCCGGAACATCTCGGTAGAAATTATAGCTCCAACTAAATTGTCGCTCCGTCGAAGTGGAACAAAGGAATGACGAAGCAAAAATCAGGAACCTACGCATCGTGCGTTTCGTGAGCTGTGAAGGACACCTTTACCAACCCTCGTGATGCTCAATCATTCCACCAAAAAAAGCTGGTGCACACGAACAAATGCCGACACGCGGAACTGCGAGGAGAGAGCTTCACCCACCTTTTTGTTGTTATTGTTGTTTAAAGTTGTACGGCTGTCTAATCAGAACCGCGCATACTCCAACAAATCCGGACTGTCTGCTCTCCCGGAAATGATTTGGAAGAGCCAATCGCCGCAATCTACGCAGGAAGCTCGACGAATGACGAAACGGAAATTATGTTTAGACACGAAGAAAAATCTGGCCCGTGGCACTGAGCATGCTGAAACGCCATGTCTTGTGCCACAGCGCAGACAGTCTCTTTTAGATCTATAGATGTTATATTGAATGTCTATGGATATTTTATAGATATTCCTATGGAATTTCGCAGGGCTTCCTCCGTGGATCGCGGCGATGAACTTTTCCGAGTACTTTGCTGGAAAATGAACACTTCGAATTTCTTAAAAGGTGTACGATGCAAGTTTGTAATCAAATCTACACTCCTCGCGTATAGCGGCAGTTCGACTTTCTTCTCCTCATTTGTCACCTTTCAACTGCGAGCGTACGAGTGTTCGCCAGATTGCTTTTGCTCTCGATGAAATACCTGGTAGGAAGTGAGTCTTTATATTGGTGGTGTAGAAACGTGCTGTCACCTCTGAATAGTGTAGTATATGTACACAGATCTAAAACGCGTGGTGAAATTAGTATTTTCCCGCAAAATAAGCAGATACACAAGTATGTCACGGTGTCAAACTCGCGATATGTTGAAATTTTTTACATAAAAAGTATCGTCGCAGCCTTATTGGCAACACCGCTGCGTGCTGACATTCTTTCCGCAGCTAAGTACAGTTCCGATTTACATCCGGGCCAGCTGACCTCAGCACGGTGTGATCTGTGATAAGTTGTTTCCTACGCCAATCTTTAATCTTTTTCGAACGTGTGCCAGCAATGCGCGTGTTTGAGCCGCAAATTATAACACCGCACAGTGCTTTCACTTCTTTTTGCGTTTATCCTTTCAACTCTGATTGCCGATTCAAGCTGCAATTTGTAGTTTCACCGCGTGATAAGAGGGCCTTTTCCCCGGCAGCGCATTCATTTATCCCCACTTCCTTGCGGGCAAGCCCCGGCAATGAGGCCGAGGATCCCGAGAGATGCCATCCTTAGCCGACTCACCTCAAAAAGAGCAAATCCGATGCAAGCTCATTACAACACGTCGGATTTTTCGTAAGGCATCTGATTCTACGACACTAAAAAGTTTTTTTTTCCTTTTATCTCAGGCGTTTTTACGTTGTGTGGGAAGTTCGGGGGGCGCAGTTAGACCCGAGAATCCCGGGTCGATGCGTTCATTCGAGGTTCTCTGCGTGTCGTCAGATTGCGATTTGGAGAGGGAAATCACAGAGACCGGAAGATTGGGGCCTGCGCTCTCTAAAGTGTCTGGTTAAAGTTGAACTTTAGGTTTCTCCTCCACCCTCAATTTCCGCGATTTTTTTTATTGTTCTATCTTTCCTTTTCAGCGTTCATCGGTGGCAAGTTCTACTTCTTTCATGTTTATTTTTTTTTTATTCCATCCTCAGATGTTCATTTCTCGTTCGCTCAATGGCGCCGTCGTATGCGAGCTCTTTCCGGCCGACTCTGGTGCGAGAAGATAAATCGCGTACATTTTGCGACCCTAGCATGCCCGTGTGTGCGTGTGCGTGTGCGTCTGTGTGTGTGTTTGTGCATGCGTGCGTGCGTGTGTGTGTGTGTGTGTTAATTCGCGCACGTAGCAGTAGGCCGCACGTTGAACTAAGTCACTGCGTAACCAGGTATAGGGATAAATATACTTATCCGGTGCTGTCACCCGAAACATTTCCCAATGACGACACCCCCTCTTCTATGCGCTTCCATTATGTTTGGTTCGACTGAGTGAGTTGTTCTTCTTGCCTCGAAAGTTACCTTTGTGAGGTGCGGGCATTATTTCGTCCGTAGAACTTTGTGCAGCTTAGTGCACGATGCTTTTCAAATGTGTTGCATGAGTGCCGGTGTAAATATAGTATAGGAACTTGGCAGCCGGCTGGGATATTGCGCCACGCGCCACTAAAAACCAAGCGCTCTATAGAGTAGTACGCGTGCGCGAGTTCTTCGTGACGCAGGGCATGCCCAAGTTATAGCTCGGGCATGCCCTGCATGTAGTCACAACGCTGCAACAGCTA